TAGAGTCTACCACCTTCTTCTGAGATAGACACAGGTGGTATTTAGCATAATTCTTACCGGTATTGACAGTGCTTCAGGACATAGCTTAGGTTGCTCTGTTACTGCGTAGTCATGATACGTCACTGTGTTACAAGTACCCTGGAGATGTCCATAGGCTACAGGAGTGAGGGTGGAAGGCCTTTGTCTCGTGGCTTCTCTGGCCTCTGTCTGTTCACAGTACCTAAGCTGCTCTGTTGGTTCAGTGTTTAACCCCTTCTTTCCCCACGATGGATGGTTTTGGAGTTCCCAGCATTTGTGCTGGTCCTGCCTGACTCTAGAGTCCCTCCCCATTTCTAAATTGACTTCCATTATTGGCTTTTTTCCTATAAGAGAACTCACATTGATCATCTTATCCTAATTAACAAATACTTTTCCTCTGAATGCAGCTCCTCATTCATCATGTATTTGTTTTGTCCCACAAGGCATAGGCTGTCACCTGCCTCTTCCAAAGCCCTTTTCTGTCTGTGGGTCAGTGTTGACCTGCCACTCACATTGCAGATATATACTGATGACCTAGGTGTAGTCAGGGTACATGTTTCATTCCAGAATATGTACAGTGGCCATTCTAGGACTAAACCGGTCACAGTCACATGCACATTTATTTGTCCTGAGTATAGTACCAAGGAATTGCATCTGCCAGATGATATCTACTACTCTAATCTTTTTGTTTTCAGACTTATTTTTACTTTATGATTATGGGTGAGTACCCTCATGTATGTTTGTTTACTACATGCATACATGGTGTCCCTGGAGGCCTGAAGAGGTCATCAGATCCCCTGGAACTGTAGTTATAGACAATTGTGAGATGCCACATGGGCACGAGGGCTAGAACCTGGGTCCTCTGGAAGAGCAGCACTTAACACTGAGCCGTCTCTCCAGCCCCATGGGGTGCTTGAAATCCCATTTCCTCCTATATATTCAAATAGCTTTTCTCTCATTCACAAATAAAGAGTCTTATGTGTTTGTTCCTATAGCATACTCGTAGCATATTGAGCATGCCATTGCTCTGTTTGTGCACTATTGACTTTCCAAGTATTTGCTCACTGAAGATTGTGTGTGTGTATGTGTGGTTGTTTTGTTTTTCTGAGACAGGGTCTCTCTGTGTAGTCCTGGCTGGCCTGGAACTTGCTCTCTAAACCAGGCTGGCCTAGAACTCAGAGACCTATCTGCCTCTGCCTCCTGAGTGCTGGTATTAAAGTCATGTGCCACCATGTCCAGCTAGCCACACACTAGTTGTTCTGGACCACATGGTCCAGTGAGCCAGTAGGGAGCAATTCCAAGAAATTCCTCTTCAGAACCTACCCTTAGTTGGTGTACCCTGAAAAAAAGAATCATAAAGTACTGGTGCATGTTTGCTAAGTGAAAGATCCCAGTATGTTATATACTATATGCGTCATTCAAACTGTGTGACAAATTCCAGAAAAGACACACTAGAGAAAGTAAAGAGATGTGAATGGCAGAGCCTTGGGAGACCTGGGGTGGGATGAAAGGCTAGGAGGGCCGTGGAGGAGGTTTAGGGAGGTAGGACTCTTGTGTAGGATGCTGTAATGAGAGGTCTACAACTGCAGTGGCTGTTCAACCATAGGGCAGCACAACGCAGAGGGAGCCGTAATGTAAACAGTGGGCTGTCGTTAGGGTAAAGGGTCAACTTCATGGCCTCTTGACCTCAACTTTACAGGAAGAGCGTTCGAGGAGCGAGCACAACTTGGTGAACATCCAGAAAACCCATGAGCGAATGCAGACTGAGAACAAGAGTGAGTAAATGAGGCAGGAGAGAAAGGAGGTGGGAAGGGCTGAGACCAGGAGCATGGCCTTACTGTGTCTTCCAAGGGACTTTTGCTTGTATCTGCATAGTCCAAAGTTGCTCTTCAGGGTCCTTGTTCCTTTGGCTGAAGGACCTAAAGTGACAGGGACTGATGACTGACTGCCTTGCACCAAAGGACCTCAGAGTCTCTCAGCTCAGGACTGGAAAGGCAGCCTTGTGTGCAGGAAAACTCACCCTTACCTTAGAGCTCATGGGCACAGGGCTTTTCTGGAGCAGAATTCCCCCATGGCCTCTGCATGTGCAGGAAAGCAGCTCACCCCACCCTGTGCTTGGTGCTTTCTAACTCAGAGTAACTTTGGACAGTACTAGCTTCTCCTTGGTTCTCTGTACCTGTCTTGGTATGGACAGGTGTCAGGTTAGAAGTGCTTTCTAAGAATGGCGGGGGCTAAAGAGATGACTCAATGATTAAGAGCACTGGATGCTCTTCCAGGACCCAGGTTCAATTCCCAACACCCACATGCCACATGGTAGCTCACAACTCCAATTCCTGGGGATCTGACACACACACACACAATGCACCTAAAGCACGAATAAATTATTATTAAAAAGAAAAAAAAAGAATGGTGGTGGTGTCTTTACCGTATGGAAATGTGACCCTGATGATCAGGGAACAGGTTTTTAATGTGTGTTGTGAGGGGGCGTATATGCACATGTGCATGTGTGCAGAGGCCAACCTCATGTTTCATTTTTCAGGCACCTTTCACTTTTTTGTTGTTTTTGTTTTTGTTTTTGAAATGGCCCACTATATATCCCTGGCTGGCCTAGAACTCAGTGTGTCAGCCAGACTGGCCTTCAGGTTGCTGATATTGACCTTCCTCTGCAAGTGCTGATTAAAGCAAACGCTGCCACATCTGAGGTGCCTGGCTTTTCTTTTCTTGGGTTCTGGTGATTGAGCTTGGTTCCTGGTACTCGCAAGGCAAGTACTTTCCATCCTGAGCCTCCTTACTAACCTCCTGGGAGCATGTTTGAACTCCTAAAGCTTAGAATCCAGGCCCTGGCCTCTGAGCCTCTTCAAGCTGATTCTGATGTCCTGGGTCGGGGTCCCACGCTGCCACCTCCTCTTGCTTACGCCTCCTCCTCCTGTGTTTGTAGTCTCTCCTTATTACCGGACAAAGCTGCGTGGTCTCTACACAACTGCCAAGGCCGATGCAGAGGCTGAGTGCAAGTGAGTACCATCCCCGGGGCTGCCGTCCCATCCCTGACCTCTGTTCTGGACCACACGTGACTGGAGGCCACAGCCCCAGCCTGCCTTCTGTCTGTGAAGAGGGTCCCCCTGCTCTGCCTCTCCCATTGCTTGAACCTTCCCAAGCCTTACCTTTATTACCCATTCTCCCCCTTTAGTTCACTACTTTATAGATGCAGTAATCAGTGTCATGTCCCTATGTACCTATTTTTAGTCATATGACCCTGCAGTCAATTCAGTTGAAGCTCTGTTGCCTTGCCATTAAAATCCAGGTGGTAACTCCTACTGGATTGTGAACAGACTGTGGGATAATGTGGAGAGAATGCGGGATTCTACAAACTATTCTTCCCCCATGGGAATATGCTGACTGTTGCAGCCTGTAATGGGAACCAGGACCACTGTATGGCGCTGCTGTGCCTGTAATGGGAACCAGGACCACTGT